TACGTCCAATAAAGGAATAAATTCAGATAAAAGGGAAGGGCCACATGAGTTCACGTTAACACAATGCTTGGTGGACTAGGTCGCGTGGTAGAAAATCGACTACAGGCCCAGGATTCGGCCCAGATTAATTAACCAAACCCGGAACCATAGCTGCGCTAAGTTTCGATTTTCGACGTTTTTTTCTTTCGATTTCCGAAAATTTTTTTATTTCGACGCAGCTCTCCCGGAACCCATGAACAGGCCCAGGCTTTTCAAAAAAATCTCAATCTTTAGTAACTAAATAAGAATTAATATTTACTGAGTAAAATAAAATTAATTACTAAATAATTTATTTTAAAATCATTAAAGTTTTATATAATTGACACTGATGGCCTGTCTAATATAATCTTTACCGGTGGAATATTATTTAATTATCTGGAAAACAAATTTAACGTTGTTAATTTTTATACTTATTTTGTAATATATAATTTTCTATATCATTTAAATTTACATGGATTATGTGTTCAATTTGTTTATATTTAGATATCTGACTTTGAATAGGTAAATAAATAATATAATTGTGGTCACGAAACCGGCGGCACGGAACTGGAAGTCACGGAACTGGGAGGTCACGGAACTGAAAAGTCACGGAATCGGCGGCACGGAATCGGCGGCACGGAATTGTCCCAATCCGCTCCACACAACATTAAGCATAATATTGTCTAAATTTTTCCAGCTTAAATATGAATTTTGAAATTTATGCATTTAAATATAATAAACAATCAGCAAATAGACCGATTATTATGCTTTTTCAGAAATTATTAATTTTTATTCAGTTATTTTCCACTTTACCTGACAAAATTACCTCCACATATTATACAGCCAGTTGTATTTTCTACCTTAGGTACTCTCATTTAGAGACCGGACTTGAGTGATCGTTAGATAATATCGATCATCGATATATCGATATTTTCCATCGATATATGGTTCGATCCGGTCTCTACTCTCATTACACTGTTGAATGTGCCACAAGGCAAATAGTGAAAGAGAGGAGAAGATCTGACCATTATATAAAATCTTAGGGAAAATAAGGAAAAAATGGGTGGAGCAGCTTCAGAATAAAAAGAAAATAATCAAATTTATTTTTTATTTTTAGGCCTCAATTCCTTTTATTAATCAGACGGAAGTTTTATTTTTTATTTTCAATTTATCTACAAACAACATTAATTTTATTCGAATATTAAATTATATTTCTTTTCATTTAATACCAGTTTTTAATCCAATTATTTGTATCTTAACTAATAAACCGTATAGAAATTTTATATTTAAAAGAAACAATACAGCAACTATACAACCAGCATAAAATGCAAATTACCTATAATATTATAATTTGTTTACAAAACAAAAATCTAAAATTTTTTAAACCAGATGTCGATTTAATTCATTTGCAGATTTAATTTTTTAATAAATTGTATTTTGAAGGTTTCAACTAGAGACCGGCGCGGGACGGGATCCCGCGCGGGATTTTGCGGGGTCCCGCTCCCGCAATCCCGCACTTTTTTCGATTTGCGGGATTTTTCCCGCGGGATCCCGTCCCGCAAAGATTTTTTTTAAAAAATCCCGCAAATTTTTCCCGCAAAATTTTTTGAATTTTGCGGGATTTTTGGAAAATGGAGAATTTTTGCTCCTAACCTTCTAAACTCAAAAAATTTTTGCCTGCGGCGCAGAAAAGTAAGGGAATATGGATACTTGGCCTTCCAAAATTTTCGCCTGCCGCCCATGGAATCATCTTTATTACATCGAAACAAAATTGTCCAAATTGTTAGATCAAGATTTGATTCAGCTCAAGCTATTCTAATTCGTATATTCGAATTTTCCGACGAATACATATGTATAAGTTTGCCCTTTATGATTTTTTTTGATAATTGGGGACCTGGATAAGTGCTTATCGTTTGTACCAACATGTACTCGTAATTTGGTACGAAGTATGATACAGTTAAGAACCCGTTAAGAACTCGTTAATGATTAGGAAATTGATTTTTTTCAATAGATATTGATAATTTCAACGATTTTTGGAAAATCCCGCAATCCTGCGTGGGATCCCGCAAATTTAAATTTGCAAATTTAAATTGCGGGATTTTGCGGGATGCGGGATTTTTCCCGCGGGATCCCGTCCCGCAAAGATTTTAAAAAAAAAATCCCGCATGCGGGTTCCCGCAAGTATACCGCAGATTTATAACTTTATTCAAGATTTCGAATCTGGGAGGCCCTGGTATAGTTTGATTAGCTCGTCGAGCCGCATCGAAGCATTCCAGGGCGTCCTGGATTCGACAATCTTGAAGGAAGTTATAACTCGGCGGTATAATGGACTCGTGGTATATCGGCCGCTCCTTCTTTTTTAATCTCGTTTCATAATTGACACATATTTTTTAAATTTCAATTTCCAATCATTGCCATTTGTACCTATGATTGCCGAATAAATTAACCGAGTTAACACATCAAAATTCACCAAAAACTATTTTTGTATGTTAATTCAATGCATTGATAAATTGTTATTGACAAGTAACGATGTTTGAAAGATGAGATATTTTAGCGAATAGTTCTGTTTAAACAATTTTTATATTTTTAAATTTATTTTCAGCCTACATCTTAACCATTTATTAAGGTCAACTCTAATTTTTAATACACAATTGCCAATTTTCCTTATGCGAAGTTCCCGCAGAAAAACATTAAATTGTTTCATTACCCAATCAAAATAACAATAATTATTTTTCCTTTCCCCTCTTAAAAGAATATGTAATTATAAGAAAACTTTTAACAACCCCCAATTGAAATAATTTAAAAATATTTTCCCTATTAAAAATTATAAATAAAATGTCGCGGACGGCATTTTAAGGGAAGCGAGGCATGTAAAATGAGGCGTGTCCTATATAACCAGCCTCTCTCCCCACTCCCTCCACATTCACTTTTTCTACATTACCCACTTACATTAATTCTTCCCCATAAAATAATTACTTGGAAATAGCTTTTGTTTTTGTTAAATAAATCTGTTTTTAAATCTAATTATTTTATTTAATAATCTAGGGGAAAATCACCCATCGGGGCTACGGCCTAGTCCTTCAATGGACTAGGACAGCCGGAGCCTTCGCCGAATGTAACCACTAATATTCTCCCAAATCTCACCACCAACATTGATGTTTTTAGATAAAGTTTGATAAGAAAAATATTCATTGAAGAGGTATGTTTTCGTTATGATCAAAGGGTTATCATTATATATTACATTTAAAATATGTATGGTTTGGAGAAATAATTTAAAGAATTTATTAAAATAGATAACAAATAAAAACATCAAATACCGGACATATCACAGTCGAACTAAAAACTCTTATACTACGGCGCTAATCTGTATACATAATAGATATTTGGTTATTAGTAGGGTTTGACCCCGAATCCTGAGGGCACGTTTTTCGTGGAACGTTAGAGGATGATTGACAGAATAACACTCACAATTTACTATCAGTCATCCTCTAACGCTCCCCGAAAAACGTGCCCTCAGGATTCGGGGTCAAACCCTAGTTATTAGACTCCTCAATTTATGGTGGTTATATTAGAGAAGGTGGTTCTAATAGAGACAGTGGTCTTTACTCATGCGACTTTACTCGTGACTTTAAACATGCGACTTTACTCGTGACTTTAAACATGCGACTTTACTCGTGACTTTAAACATGCGACTTTACTCGTGACTTTAAACATGCGACTTTACTCGTGACTTTAAACATCCGACTTTACTCGTGACTTTAAACATCCGACTTTACTCGTGACTTTAAACATCCGACTTTACTCGTGACTTTAAACATCCGACTCTACTCGTGACTTTAAACATCCGACTTTACTCGTGACTTTAAACATCCGACTTTACTCGTGACTTTAAACATCCGACTCTACTCGTGACTTTAAACATGCGACTTTACTCGTGACTTTAAACATCCGACTCTACTCGTGACTTTAAACATGCGACTTTACTCGTGACTTTAAACATCCGACTCTACTCGTGACTTTAAACATGCGACTTTACTCGTGACTTTAAACATCCGACTCTACTCGTGACTTTAAACATGCGACTTTACTCGTGACTTTAAACATCCGACTCTACTCGTGACTTTAAACATGCGACTTTACTCGTGACTTTAAACATCCGACTTTACTCGTGACTTTAAACATCCGACTTTACTCGTGACTTTACATGCGACTTTACTCGTGACTTTAAACATGCGACTTTACTCGTGACTTTAAACATCCGACTTTACTCGTGACTTTAAACATCCGACTTTACTCGTGACTTTAAACATCCGACTTTACTCGTGACTTTAAACATCCGACTCTACTCGTGACTTTAAACATCCGACTTTACTCGTGACTTTAAACATCCGACTTTACTCGTGACTTTAAACATCCGACTCTACTCGTGACTTTAAACATCCGACTTTACTCGTGACTTTAAACATGCGACTTTACTCGTGACTTTAAACATCCGACTTTACTCGTGACTTTAAACATCCGACTTTACTCGTGACTTTAAACATCCGACTTTACTCGTGACTTTAAACATCCGACTCTACTCGTGACTTTAAACATCCGACTTTACTCGTGACTTTAAACATCCGACTTTACTCGTGACTTTAAACATCCGACTCTACTCGTGACTTTAAACATGCGACTTTACTCGTGACTTTAAACATCCGACTCTACTCGTGACTTTAAACATGCGACTTTACTCGTGACTTTAAACATCCGACTCTACTCGTGACTTTAAACATGCGACTTTACTCGTGACTTTAAACATCCGACTCTACTCGTGACTTTAAACATGCGACTTTACTCGTGACTTTAAACATCCGACTCTACTCGTGACTTTAAACATGCGACTTTACTCGTGACTTTAAACATCCGACTTTACTCGTGACTTTAAACATCCGACTTTACTCGTGACTTTACATGCGACTTTACTCGTGACTTTAAACATGCGACTTTACAGAAAAGTTTTAATTTTCATACGATTTCCTTCATTTAATATAATTGTTATGAACATATTACAAATATTTGCTTGTTCATTAATCTTAACAATGCTTGATGAACCTGGTAACAACTTTAAATTTTAAAATTATTATAATTTAAGTAGCAAATGCCGGATGCTTCTCTTTTATTTCACCAAAATGTTATTGTGGGGAATACAAAAGAAAAGATTTTACAATTAAAAAACAAATTGTCAGTCAAAATCAAGAAGAAATTGAATTAAATATAAATATGAAGCATGAAATTGGAAGGGGAGGATTTAGCCGTGTATGTTTAGAACCTTGTCATTTTCGAGTATTAAATCTTCAATAATACTTTTCTAAAGATTTTCCATGCATATTCTTCGGAATTAAACGAATGTGTTGCTCTCAAAATCACAGAAATACAAACTGGCAGAGCTGCCGAATCTGAGCATATGGTTCTTGGAATTACCTCAAGGGACTTAGCATATAACGAAATTCGAATACTTGAATACTTTGCTAAATGTCCCGCTGATCAAAGAACACATATGATTAAAATATATGGAAAGTAAGCTTTTTAAACATTAAGTTAGTGGCATGGTTATCCGCAAAAATATTTTTTGACTACTAGAGCCCGTAGAATCAATGAAGATTTCGGTAATTCTTAAGATGTTGCCCCTCTCCTTTTTTCCTTATTTAAGATTGTACATAATGGTCAGATTTTCCCCCTTTCCTCTTTTCTCTATGGCATATTCAAACAAGAGAAGATTAATTTTGCATTAATTTTGCATCAGTATTTTTTGCTAAGATTTATCTAAAGATTTTCTATAATTAATTACAATATCATTTTTAAATTTAAGAAAAGAAGAAACAGTTAATAATATAACAAAGATGATTGTTGCTATGGAGCTTGGAGGGATGAATTTTGAAAATTATTTTGATATAAAAATGAGTGAAATTGTGAATAGAGAAGCAAAAAATGGGATACTTCTAGATAATGAACGAGAATTTCTTCTTTTAAATATTCTCAAATGTGCTGCAAAAGCGCTCCAAAAATTTCATCAACGTTAAAATTAAAACATTTATTAGCTAAACCCTAAACTCTAATATGTATTTTTATTTATAAATCATATATTTTCTGTAACACAATTACAGAAACAAACAAACTCCATACTATTCATATTAGACGGTTTTTAGTATAGATAATATTAGGTTCCTAAATGTAGCATAAAATGCCAAAATAAGTGACAAACATTAAAAAATAAGTTTCAAAAATTCTCGAATTTGATGAGTAAAAAATGCAAATAATTTCTATTTTCGTTGAAAGTTTTATCGATAAAACAAAACTGTTAAAAAATTCCCTATTTAAATTTTTACGAAAATAATAATTAAAAAAATATTCTTTAATTATTGAAAATTATTGTTCCAAAAAAACATTAAAATTAAATTAAATTCACTCTTAAATTAAATTCAAGATGCCATTCACAATGATATCAAAGCATCCAATTTTGTTATTCCACATGGGCATAATTTGTCACTTCCGTTAAATTCTTGCAAACTGATAGATTTTAATAAAGCAATTCTACTAGATGAGCAATCCCAACAAGTAATCATAAAATTATATTGATTCTAAACTTTTCTTGGGTTTTCGGCTTGATTATGCATTTATTGTGTAAAAACTCGTCTTAACCCCTCCAAATATTTTAAGGTAAATATCAATACTGATGTTCGACAGTATGGCACAATGATCACAAACCTTAAGTTGCGCAGTGGCGGCAATTATGGACACCGTTTAAATTATGTTGAAAATGTATGTTTTATTTAGAGTTGGTCGCGGTACCGTATTACCGCGTTATTTTTACCAAAATACCGATACCGCCTCAATCAAAAATACCGCGGTATTTTGCGGTATCGGTATTTTACCGAAAATACCGATACCGCAAAATCGCGTTTGACCAACACTAGTTTTATTCATCTTTCTAGTTTATACTATTTTAAAAGTATTTTGAAAATATAGTGACTAATTTGGAATTGTTAATATGTATAGGTATGATGTTTATAATTTTAAGGCTTGCAAGCGCACTAGAAGCACGCCAAGCATAGATAATGTTCTTGTCTATCTTAATGGAGGTGAAATTCAATTATGAGTTAAAACTATAAGGAGAAAAATTTATGGGTTTTTAAAAATTTTTTTAGTTTTTTCTTATTTTTTAAAAATAAGAAAAAATTGTTGATTTTTGATGTTTATGGCCTTGTAAAAATTTTTAGGATTTTTCGACAAATTTTGGCTTTTATTTAAATTTTTAATGCTTTCTAAGTCGTTCAAAATTTGTAAAAATTTTTAAAAATTAATTTCTTTTCTTACACAGTTGATTTTATTTTTAAATTATTTTATTTTTCATTGGTTGCATATTTTTACAAGATTTTTTGTTTTCATTAAAATTAAACTTTCAAAATATATTACTAAAATTGTATTTTTTTGTCATAAAAATTTTTAACATATTTTTGTGTAATTAAATTTTTAAATTAAAAGTTCAAAATTAATTTTATGAGTTAGTTGCCATTAAATCTTTTTAGAGAGAGCTTCTAATTTTAAACGTAATCTCTGTTCTGAACAATGGTCATAAAACTCCGAATACAGTTTATATTATCAAATAAAAAATCAGAATTTTTAAATAGAATGTACTAAATTTCTATTTGCTATTGAATTCTGCGGCATCGGAACAACTTGAGTAACATTTAAATCATTTTTGCATCGGAAGACTATTTGTCTGTAATTTTTGACGCTCAGAATTGTTACCTTTTTAAAATTAAAAAATTAAAAATACAAAAAAACTCACAATAGGATTTAAAAAAGCAACTAAAGATGCCAAACTGGAGCTAAAAAATATTGTAATTGATGATGAATATAGGCCAGGCAAATTAAATAAAAAAGTTAAGTTCCCAAATAAATTGGTGAGATTTGTCATTAAAGGGAGAATAGCCTTTAATTAAATTGTTATCTATTGTTATTTATTTAGTCTGTCTGGTACTTAAGGCTATTTATTTTTGGTCATTTAAACTAGAGTACGTCCGAGTTCGAGCGAGTTCGAGTTACTCGACTCGATCGCTCGGGTCTTATTTCGCCTTTACTTGGGCTCTGAACTCGGGATCTTAATACACGGCATTACTCGTACTCGGAAACTTCGTACTCGGCTGACTTTGATAAAACCGTTTATTTTTATGCCTCTATCTGCGGCGTAGAAAAAGATTTTTGGTTAAAGGATCTTCCAAATTTATCAAAAATTTCGCCTTCGGCGCTGAAATTATTTTGAGAATTTCCTCCGTTTCAAAAATCATTCCAAAAATACCTGTGCCACCAAAACAATACTTAATTGTTTATTCATATTACGTAATCGAGTCATTTCTACACCTTTACAATGACGATAAACATGTATTTGAATACTTACACCACAAAAAATGATAATTATATAATTAATTATATTTAATGCTGAAGCAAAATTTCCAGTAAAATTTGATAGATCGTCGGTCTAAAAATTTTATAAAAATTCGGGAAAAAATATTTCTCAACGTTCACAATAAATCCTTGCCAAACATGAAATTTAACAAAATAGACATTCACTTTTCTTCAATAACTAATCAAAATCCCTATCAAAGTTTGGAGTAAGATTATAACCCTCTTCGATTATTTTTCTTCCATTCCTTATCCCTATAGCATGATATTCCAAAATCCAGGCCTCCTTTCTTATTCGCGCCAAACTGTCAACTTACAGTTGATTATCTAAGGAAAATTATGGTAGAAAGAGGAAAGGAGAATGAAAATGCAGCAAAAATGCTTTTTTGTAGAAAGTCATTTGCTGACATGTTGAGGACGAGCTGGACATTTATCGGTCTTGGGTACAACATTATAAAATCGGAATAATACATACATGTAAAAAATTCTAAAAAAATATTTTCTTTAACTTACTCCAGTTCTAAGTCCAATAACATAATTTTTAATTGTATAGTTATCCAATTCTAGTATTTTTGCCACTTCATAATTGGTCAAATGTTCCTTTTCTGGGGTTGGATAGTATGCAATATAAGACAAAATACTTAATATCAGCAATGGAATTATCATCCCAAAAATTAAGATTAATTGGTGTTTAAATTTAATATCAACTTTTCTATAAAGATGAACATTAAGCTATTTCTAAATTTTCCCGTATTTACCGTACAACTGCAAAATAACGATAAACGAACAATGTCGAGACATTCGATGTAGTAACTCTTCCCATGAAAAAATTGATACGGAGAATAATAGATTGCCATGGATTTGGCAAGTAATGTATAAGTCCGTAATCCCAAACTATACCTGTGCCATTATCGGAAATAAAAGCCTTAATAAAAAATTATGCTTTAATTATATTTGAAATGATTTCATTGAATAATGCCGCAGGGAAATAGTGATTTTGAGGAAGGAAGAAAGTCTGACCATTCTGTACACTAAATAAATCCGCAAAAACTGTTCGCAAAAACTGGTCAGGAATAACTCACAAGTACCTAATTTACACGGTTAACCTTTCCACGCCCAAATATTTATCCATTTACCGGTTGAGAAACAACAAACACACAAATCCCAACAATATCAACAAAACAAGTTTGCAAAAGTATTTTGCTATAAACTTGCATTTCTTTCATTGTATAACGCAAAATTAGCCGAATTAAAAACAAATTAGAAATAATTCCAAATGTGGCAAAACAATAAATAATTGTTGAGTATATTTCCCCTATTAACATTTTTTCCTAAAAGTTTTAGATGAAAGTTAGTTTTTAGATGAAGAAAACAAAGCCGTGAAACAAATATTCATTTACTTGATAAGTTTGTTTATTTTATATTAGTACTTATAATTCAATTATTATTAACTAAAACACCTGTGCTTTTTTTGTTTAATATTAATTCCGTTAAAAATTAATTAAATATTAACCCCTATCATAAATCTGACTAATTCAGTAAATTAAGTAATACTCGAAAATTTTTTTTAATAATTTAAATATTAAATTAAGATAAAGACATCTGTTTGTTAGATAAAAATTATATTTTTTTCTAAATTAAATATTAAGATTAGTTTGCAGTAAACGCTAAAAATTGATACGGTATTTTTACGAAAAAAGTGAGTAATTTAACTGGAATTTTCTTAAGTTTAGAGTTAATATTTATGAGATATAAACATCTGTTTAGGTCATAGTACATAGGCTGCCAAAATGGACAGACTCGACCGAAAGATATAGTCAGGCATGGTTATTTGGTTGAAAAAGATTAAAATTGTTTCAGAAAATTTAGGGTTATGTATGTAAATTGTTTAGTGAAAA